TGATATCATAAAATCTAATTTATGATATCATAAAATCTAATTTATATGATATCATAAAATCTAATTTATGATATCATAAAATCTAATTTATGATATCATAAAATCTAATTTATATGATATCATAAAATCTAATTTATGATATCATAAAATCTAATTTATGATATCATAAAATCTAATTTATGATATCATAAAATCTAATATATGATATCATAAAATCTAATTTATGATATCATAAAATCGATTTAATGATATCACATTTTGTGAATAAATTCCAAAACGGTGCCCTATAATAGTCAGCAGATCTGTACCTGTCGTTTTCTTTACAGGTTTAACTGGTTCAACCGGATACGTGAATGTACCCCTTTTGAATACAGAAAACACTTTTGAATAATGTGTGTGACCGTTTAAAACGAACAGAACCAAAAATGAAACGAAAAGAAACGTATTTTAGTTTAAACATATTGCAAAATAATTGCAAAAGGATTTGGCACAAGTTATTGCAACTTATAGATCGAAACTTATAAAAGAAACATATGGTTGGTTGGTGCACAGGCGCTTGCATCTGGTATTTAATACCTGAGCTAAAAATCAAAAATCCACTGCTTATTAAATACCAGATACAAGCGCCTGTGGTATAGCAAACTTATTTAGGTTTCTTTTTCGAAAGGGAATATATAATTTGACTTCCAAGACTTTGACATTTAACCTGCATCAATCGACGCTTGAAATCAATCTCTGCAAAATTTCTTGATAATGTTGTTTTGCAATATTTGCTGTTAAATTTTATCATATGACCTTGACCATAGGCCAATGAGCAATATTAATAGTTTCAGTCCCAACAACAATATACCGGCTAGCTTTATATTGGTATTAGTACGGACGTAGATAACATCTAATTCCGGGGTATTAGGTAATGTTTACCACTAAAAAGATATCAATTTTGACCTTCGTGACCCTGATCTTTACCATATGACCTTGCTCTTCCACCAATATATAGCACTTAACTTAAGCCCCAACAATAATACTTCATGATGTTATCCAATTTTTATTATAATAATGACCTAGTGACACTTGAATTGCCATAAATCCCACAATATATATGGATTTATGATCTTATTCTATCATTATCACTGATACAGGAATATTTGTGGTCATATTGTTCCTCTGTTCTACAAACACACTTAACATAGCTAAAAGAGGACCCAAGGGGACAGTGTACACACTTTTATAAAGATATATGTCATATCACGGACTTAGCATCTAATTCCGTGTTCATATCGTACTTTCTGAGAAATAATGATAAGAGGTTTAATCTGAAATTCAAAATTGCCACAGGATGGCCATACTGTTTTTCATATCCACAAAAAAGTGATGTTGCATAATAAAAATTAATTATGATACAATGAACTATCTATAAAATTTAAGAAAGATATGTCCTGTTACATTCTGACAAACTTTAACAATTAAACCCAAGATAGCCACCTGGCAGTCATATATTAATTCTTCTTCAAATCCATAAAAAAGCAGCAAAATTAACATTGCACAGCTAGGACCCAAGGGAAACATAGCTATGTTCTAAATTTGAGGAAGATATATATAATTTTTATTTAATAATATATTTTCTTCATATCCATGTATGATACAACTCTGACGATTCTGAAATGAAAGATGGCCAACTGGCGGCCATATTTTTCGTCAAAAATTCAACTTGAAATATATAGCCTCTCTTTTCTGAGCCCGGATGCTTATTTGTTCAATATATCGTTCTTCATTCTCAGAAGTGAAAGTAATTACCACTGAGAATGTGATCTAATTTATTACAATTCTTAAAGAAGGTTTATTAGAAAAACAAACAAATAATAAAATAAATAACCTATCTGAAATAAATAAATAAGTATTAAATTGTCATTTTATTGATTTGAAAATGCTTAAATAATATAAAATTCAGATAAGGGAGAAAAAAGGCAAGCGCCGAATCTCAGAACAGACAGCTCAGCTGCTTTACGTATTTTCCGGAATAATATACCTTTTTTGGTTCTAAAAGTGTATGTTTTCAAAGATGGCGTCGCCCATGGAGTAGAACTTGCGACGTGAGGATTTTCTGTGATTATTTACGAATTGATGCAAATTTAGAGATCTGAATTGTTTAGCAACGGCTAGATAATGGCATCAAGTATGGATCCACGAGAGGTTTCGCGCAGAAAAGCCCTCAAAGTAGCGGTTTCCGCTCTCGTGTATGAAGTTGGATTTGAAAAAGCTGAAGAATCTGTGTTGGAAACCCTAACCGAAATGTTGCAAAGTTGTAAGTGTGTATGTCAGCTATGTTCGCTTTTGTTTATGATGTCTCCCATTTTTCCAATTCCGTTAACAAGCTGAGTAATAAGGGCCTAGTTCCTGAGCGTCGAATGCGTTGGCCTGGATATATCCAAATAATATCCAAATGCTTATAACTACATATATATCCAAATAGTGTTCAACGTCAGGCAGCCAGATTTGCCACTGGAAATTACTTCTCCAGAGATTCTGGATGTGTAACCAGCATGCTTCACCAGCTGGGGTGGGAGCCCCTGGAATACAGAAGGGCCAGGAGCAGAGTCATCATGCACCATCTGATCCATTACACCACCAACAGGACACATGGCCAACAACATCAGGGAAATCAGGACCAGGGTCGATGTGTACAAACAGTGAAACACTCATTCTTACCAGCTACCATCAGAATGTGGAATACCATCCCGCCGTTTGTGAGGACACTTAACACCACTTGACAGCTTTCGGAACGTCATGCAAACCATTGACGTCTCCGTGCTACTCCACAGATATTAGAGAACTGTGTTTTTATCCTTTAATTGTAAATAAAAGTTTTTAGCTGTTCGCCCACCACGCACTGGAGTATTTTCACTCAAAATGAGTCAATTTCATACCGGAAGAAGAAGAAGAAATAAACTGAGAAGTTTAACAGGTACTGGAGCACCGGCAAATCTGCCTATATCTGATCATATAGCTATATTTGCCAGTGCTCCAGTACCTGTTTAAGTTAGTTAAGTTTGAGCACAGGTTACAGCCTCGTCTGTCATTACACCCATAATATAAACGTATGGGTATATTGACAGACGAGGTTGGTACTTGTGGTTTAAGTTAAGTTTATAATCATTTCCAGTACAGGGGTAGACAATCCTCTTCTCCAGATTAAAAAATCATACAATACTGTACATAATATAGACTGTTTAGTTCTATTAATGCAAATAGTTCTATATATATGCTAGATCTAGATCTTTGTTCTCCCACTAATTATCCGGTCTAACAGTTTGTATTAGGTGCGGATATTACATTCTCGGGTAATATACTCCATACACGTGCAGCTCTCACGGTGAAAGTCTCAGTTTCTCCTACATTTGTAGATGTTGAATTTGTCCGTTGTGGAATAAGTTTCTTTGAATTCCCTCTTACACTGTGATTGGTGTAGAGTAGAAGCATCAAACCTAACACCTACGTATTGAATTCATAAAGATACCTTTTTGTTTAGTGAGATATTGTATGTTTATCCAAGGTGTATTTTATTTTGTGTTGACAGTTTTAACAGAATTGGGGCGTAGTTGCAGAGGTTATGCAGAGCTGGCTGGGAGGTCTGAAGGAATGATGACCGATGTTTTCATGGCACTAGTAGACATGGGTATGAATGATAAGTAATTGTATATGAGGAAATTTACTTGCATAAAGGGAACTAATTACACTATTTCCAAGGAAACATTTTGTGTCAATTTATACTACCTTAAATAAAACTTACTTCCCCTGTTGAGTTATTAGCTCACGGTCACCTGGTTACCTGATGTCATGGCTAAATCATCCCTCCACTGATGTGTGTTCTTTATCCATTCTTATCCTTTTTTCTTTAGAACACTATTAGTCCAAAGCCACTGAAAGGAATTGCACTAAAATCCTTTGTTCCTTTTAATTCAGTTTCTATATTTTAAATGGTGAACATTTAGAGTGGTACAATTATGACAGTTTTTCAGTGATATATATTTAAAAATTTAGATCATGTACCTGGAATGTTTCTTGATTCTTGGAAAAGGCTACTCATGATGGCCCATTTTCAGGAAGAGTTTTGATTCTAATTGATCTTTTTTTTTTAAATGGAATGCTAAACTCGCAGTGAAATTTTGTCTGTTTTTTTTCGGCCATGATTAGTACCCAAATTGGTACATATACACCATATCAAAGGCTATGAAACTTATTTTTATTTCTGCTAGTTGATGGCCGATTGCAACAATATTTTTGGTTTTACGGTTCATTCTTATATAGGAAATCCTTTGAAGTTTAGTTATAGCCTGTTTCAACTAAGAATGTCAACTCATTTTGTAGATATGATACTAAAGTCAATAATAAAATGGATACAAAGTTTTTATTTCATATAACTGTAATACACATTTAACACAGAACTAAGTAATAGAAAATATTCATTAAATATTAATTTTTACATTATATGAAAAAGAAAAATAACATTACATTATATGAAAAAAAAAATATCCTTAATTTAAGCCACATTGATACTAACATCAGCAATAAAATACAGTTTCTATTCCTACATATAACAGTAATACACATTTAATACAGCACTAAAAGATAGCCATTATTAAACAAACATATAAACAGTAAACCTTTCTTGAGCTAAAGTAGAGGAAGAATATTGCATGAATGATGTNAAACTGTGAGAGCTTGTGTTCTTTTTTCCCTACTTTGATACCCTTAATTTTTGCATTGTTTTTAACCATAATTGCCAATATTTCTGCCACAAGTATACAAAGATGACAGCCGCGTTCTATAGTGAAAAATTCTGATAACCTACCATTTTGTATAATAGCTGATGAAGTGTCTTTATATAGTGTATTGATCCAATGTCTGATACTGGGTCCAAAATTAAAAAAAAAAGATTACTTTGTCTATAAACTTCCATGATACCAAGTCGAAGGCCTTTTCAAAATCTATTAAAACCAATAATCCAGGAATGTCATTATTTTCTGTATAATTCATTATGTCATATATTAATCTAGTATTCTGGAAGTATTCTTGAAAGACCCCTGAAAGTGACCCATTGAATGCTAGTTTTAAGTCCATATATTAAGTTTTCTTAATCAATCATTTTGAGTCCACCCTCACTATAGTCTTGAACAATTGTTTAGCGTTTTATTCCATCAATTGGTGATTGCCAGACAATTATTCATTTATTTTTTGTTCAATGATTGAATTATGTTTTTACTTGGAGTAGGGAGAGATATAAACAGGTGATTCATTTTTGCAATGATAAGAGATTTAAGAACAGTTATTCTCCTTATAGGTGTTAAAATTCTTCTTGACCATTGATGTAACTTGCCATCTATAATACTAATAATTTTGTTGAAATGACAGAGAAATCAATCCCAAGTAAGGTAAAATTGGTTGTTTTTACTTATAACCCTGATATTTTAGCATATTTATATCATATACAGATTTTGTGCCATTTAAAATAACAGATGTGTCATCAGCGAACTGTGAGAGCCTGTGTTCTTTGTTATTTATGTTTATGCCCTAATTTTTTTATTGTTTTTTACCATGATAGCTAATATTTCAATTACCAAAAGAAATAAGTAAGATGATACCGAATCCCCTTGTCTACAGACCCTTTTTATGTCTACAAAGTTGGGTTAAAAACCATTCTGTATGATAGCCGAAGAAGTATTTGTATTAAAACATAACAGATAATAATACCAAACTGAAGTCACACAAGTTAAACACAATTCATAGAAATCTGAAAATAAGTACAGGTTTAACCAATATATGACAATAATTATAAGATAATTCACACAAATCTGAAAATACAAGTTTAACTAATATATATTAATAAATATACGACTGATTCTGAAAACTGTTCTAAATATTAATTATTATTTGGCAATTATTAGCAAATCAATCAATCATTTATTTTATTTAAGCGTCACATGTTAATACAAACATAAAAACAGGTATCTGAGAAATTTAAACATGAAACTATAATTAACCCCTGCAAAATTCTCCAAAATTTCGTCGACCATATCATTTTACGGGTTTTCTGATATGTTTACTTTGAAATCATCGTGTACTCTTTAAAATGTTCCTGAATTTTTTTTGGAGGAAATGCTGATAAATATCTCTTTTGTTATACTGTTGTTACACATTCTTTGTTAAGTAAAATATGAAATATTAATATAAACTTTATTTATTTTAGAACAATTATGAAACAATTTATTTCAACTTATATAAATCACTCTTGTTGGCCCGGATGTTAGCGTGTGGGGGGTCTTAGTGTAGGAGGAAACTGGAATACCCGGAGAAAACCCACGTCGTCAGGCAGGTGACCCCAACCTTTTCACGTCCGATCGGGGAATCGAACCCCGGCCGCCTTGGTGAAAGGCAAGTGCACCACCCCACCACCCATGTCTGTGTACTTCGTTAAGTACGAGACACAGATCTCCAATCCCAGGAGGAATACGGAAATATGGCTTGATATAAGATACTCTTATTTCTAAAAACACAGGACAAATAAGAATGAAATGAAACTTCTCCTCATCATCTCCAATATCATACAGCAAAGATAATCTCTGGTTTCAAGGCAATGCAATGTATCTACCAGTCTATATATTATATAAAGTTATGTACCTGCAATCCGTATTTCACAAGAATATGTTTATATTTTCTAAGAAACAGTTTGGTAAAAAATCACTGTAGATCAAAACAGTCAAGAATGTGTTTATACAACATACATTTTGAAGATGTCTCAAATATGTTAAGCATTTCCTGAATGAAAATATCCTTTATACGTTGTATAACAAAAATAATTTCTCATTTGGTACATATTGTGCCAACCACACATCTCTAAAACTCAACTTGGTTTCCTATGATAAAGCTTTAAAAAATCATCATAAGAGGCCCTAAAACTAGTTACCAGTCTTCAGTATTTTCAACCAGTACTAAATAATAACAATAGCAATCTTGCGGATTGGTCGAGTGGTTAACACTCCGGCCTTCCACGCAGGCGGCCGGGGTTCAATCCCCGAAGTCGTCGTCGTACGCATGGAATATTCAGAGAAAGTGTTTTTCTCCTGCCCACAACTCCAACAACCCAGGTGGAGTATAAAATTGTCTGGGGTTGATGTTGCAGTATCTGTGGTGCTGTTGCATTCAACTGAGGTGTCACTATAAATGATACCGTTGGAAGCACGGTCCCACTACAAACAGAACAAAATACATCTCCAGCACACACACACGCATACACTTATAGGGAGATATTAGCCAGGTGGCATAGGACTAGTAGTAAGCGCCTGATAAAGCATCTCCTACCAATTCCTCAAGTTGTATTGATTAATGTATATGCTAATTGTATTGATTGTAAAAAAAATGTATATCTATGTACTGTAAAGCGCTTTAGAGTGACTTACGTTGGCTAGATAGGGCGCTATATCAAATGCTGTATATTTTTTATTATTATTATATGCAAAGGAAACTTGAAACCAAGTTCAAAGTAGATCATGACATGATTTCCTAAGGATTCTTTTGTCATACATACTTCTTTCTGCAACAGGCCAAAATGTGCAATCCATCCAGTCACACGCTCGTCGACACACCAAGAGTGTCTTCTTACCACGTAAGTAATTCTGTAGTTGACTGATCATCGCAGGATTGGTTTGGTTACTATAGTAACAAGTTGGTTATCATTGAAATACAATCATGTAGCTTCATATCATCCCTGTTAGTCAACTCAGAAGGTTAATAATGCTTTTGCGTGTGAAGGAAATATAAGTTCAAATTTAAACAGAGATACTGTGTTTTTCTGAAGAATTAGTCATAAACCAGTAATGCTACATGTATTAATATTAGCTAATAGTATTCTATCTTTAAATAGGCATCTTAATTCATTATCTTCAGCCTCTGAATACTTTTAAGCCATATTGATTGTTCAATATTTTTGGAATGCAACTGGACCATTGGAGAGCATGAATACCATGTTTTGTCATTACCAGTATTATGTTTCATGATCATGGTCCTTGAAATAGCTAGTTTCTGAGAAATAGTGGTTACAGACAGACTGACCGACTGAATAAGAGATTTCAATTATGGATGTATAATGATTTGATTGACCCAACATCTGATGAGGGTAGACTTAAAAATCCCAGCTGTTGTATGAATTACTATACTAATGACACATTTGTAACCTTTCCTATTTTAGCAGCTCACACTGCAGCCCCAACCACCCTAAAGACACTACAAGTGGGGGACAGGCCGTCGCATCCTTCACACATTCCCGATCATTTACCCGCCTTCCCAGACCCCCACACCTATATAAGGACACTGGTAAGTCTTGTTCAGTCATGAGATAATTTGAAATTCGGTCTGTCATTAACTTGCTGCTATAGGTGATTTTATTTGAACTTCTATGGAAGTATCAAAATCTATGAACAAATGTCTCGAGTACATAAATATTACAAGTAAATTCAGGAGACAATGCATTGCATGTGGTTTCAAGAGAGTCTTATTGATAAATTTAAAATTCAGCTACAATGTGAAATTATCATTTACTTTTTGGTATTGCTAGCTTTGTTTTCATTAAACTGATTGCATGGTACAATGAAGACTCGTTACACTGTAGTAGAATATTCATTGCTGTTTTTCTAACTAGACAAACAAAGCTCCAGTCACAGAGTACCAACTGGTGCGTGAAAAGGCTGCCTCACAGAAGCGTGACATCGAGCGGGCTCTGACACGCTTTATTGCCAAAACCGGGGAGACACAGATGTTGTTTCCTGACAATACAGAAGCATATCCTTGTAAGTAAAGACAATTCCCAGACAAGGATTCCTGAAGAGTGTATGTAACTGGTAGAGAGGACACATGATCTTAACTGATGTCTCACAGCTGAAGCTTTGACTTAGATTGGTGTTATATGGATTCATGGTAGCCCTATATTTTTAGAGCTCACCTGGCCACAAGTAGCCAATTTAAAAGCTGTGTCATAGTGTTCAGCTGTCTTTCAATTCAAGTTTTCCTTTAAAATGCTACTGGTCAGGAACTTATGAAAAGATTTGACCAACTTTTGTTTGGAGGATTGTTGGGCCAAAGAGAATAAACATTGTTTAAATGGAGGGTGATGCCCCCATAGGGGCAGAAGAGTGGGTCATAGGGGAAAATAGATATATCTTTTGAAATCCTATTTCTTGAGTATGGGTTAAAGGATTAGACTTAAATTGGTTTGGAGCGTTTTAGGCCAAGGAGCATTAACATTGTATAAACAAAGGGCCACATCCAAGCTGGGGCAGAGGGGTTGAGAAATGCCTGAAAATAAGTATTTGGTCAAGAGCATCCTTAACTGAGGGCAGTTACATTTAAAAGCACAGATGAGTCACTTATATATTGTAAGTGCCTCTTCTCTGTCTAATAGAAGCCAACAGGATAAATGCTTGATTTTGAAAATTTGTTGTAGAGATGCTTGAATACTTCAATGGTTTCAGTGATAACATGAAGACTCTAATGGTTTCAGTGATAACATGAAGACTCTAATGGTTTCAGTGATAACATTGACGCTAATGGTTTCAGTGATAACATGAACACTCTAATATGGTTTCAGTGATAATATGAAGACTAATGGTTTCAATGATAACATGAACACTATTATGATTTCAGTGATAACGTAAACACTAATGGTTTCAGTGATAACATGAACACTCTAATGGTTTCAGTGATAATATGAACACTAATGGTTTCAGTGATAATGTGAACATTCTAATGGTTTCAGTGATAATATGAACGCTAATGGTTTCAGTGATAACATGAACTCTCTAATGATTTCAGTGATTACGTGAACACTCTAATGGTTTCAATGATAACATGAACACTGTTATGATTTCAGTGATAACGTGAACACTCTAATGGTTTCAGTGATAACGTGAACACTCTAATGGTTTCATTGAAAACATGAACACTCTAATGGTTTCAGTGATAATATGAACACTAATGATTTCAGTGATAACATGAACACTCTAATGGTTTCAGTGATAATATGAACACTCTAATGGTTTCAGTGATAATATGAAGACTAATGGTTTCAGTGATAACATGAAGACTTATGGTTTCAGTGATAACATGAACTTTCTAATGGTTTCAGTGATAATATGAACACTCTAATGGTTTCAGTGATAATATGAACACTAATGGTTTCAGTGATAACATGAACTTTCTAATGGTTTCAGTGAAAACATGAACACTCTAATGGTTTCAGTGATAATATGAACACTCTAATGGTTTCAGTGATAACATGAACACTCTAATGGTTTCAGTGATAATGTGAACACTCTAATGGTTTCAGTGATAATGTGAACACTCTAATGGTTTCAGTGATAATATGAACGCTAATGGTTTCAGTGATAACATGAACTCTCTAATGATTTCAGTGATAACGTGAACACTAATGGTTTCAGTGATAACATGAAACTTATGGTTTCAGTGAAAACATGAACACACTAATGGTTTCAGTGATAACATAAACACTTATGGTTTCAGTGATAACATGAACACTCTTATGGTTTCAGTGATAACGTGAACACTCTAATGGTTTCAGTGATAACATGAACATTCTAATGGTTTCAGTGATAACATGAACTTTCTAATGGTTTCAGTGATAATGTGAACACTCTAATGGTTTCAGTGATAACGTGAACACTCTAATGGTTTCAGTGAAAACATGAACACTCTAATGGTTTCAGTGATTGCAGTCAAGCCTAATCCCCTACCTTACCTGGATGCTCTGTTGTGCAAGGAGCAGGATCAGGTCAATGAGGGATCGTCCATGGATGAAAGTGACAAAAAGGTCAAAGGCCAAGAGACAGGTCAACAGATTGGGGGACAAGGAGACTCTCAGGATGTGGAATCCATTGACAATCCATATCTACGCCCAGTCAAGCTTTCTAGGTTCAAGAAGAAAAACAAAGTAACTAGTTGACCTGAATTTATCTGATGAACTACATTTGTGATACAAATTATCAATGTTATGGACCACATGTAAGCTCACTGATGTTGGAAGTATATGCAATGTACATATGCATTACACATTAGGATGTATCTGGTACCATCATTTATACCATACTAATGTGTTCATGGTGACAGACAGAGCTGTCACAGGTGAGACATTTAGCGGTTTGGTGGAGGACAGTAGCCATGCTGAGGTGTACAATATTTCTGTCTCCCATACCTGTTGTTAAAGGAGAGCTTTTCCTTACAGGTTTTTTCCAGATAAGATGTTGAAATCACTGCCGAGATTTGTGCTCATATTGTCTGGAATCCACATTACAGAACTGTGAAGTCTGCTGTATATTCGTACAATAAAGATAACTGGATAACAAGCAGTCAGCCTCTCTGTGATGTAGACTGAGAATGTCCAACTCCCTGTAATAATGTTTTTGAGGTTATGAACTAGGCAGAGGCTGGTTATGGAATTTAAAACAACATTTTCCTTGGGACAAATTTCTCAGTTGACATCGCACAGAAGTGATAAATTATTGTAACAATCAGTTGTAGGGTTTTGTTGCTGAAACCAATCTCTTGAATTAGACTATATTATCTCATAACTGTTAGCGTAGGGTAGCAGTCCCAAGTAGAACACAACATTTTACTTTTTCACTGAAAGCTTTTGTATATATGAAATCCTATAACTTGATTCCAATATTTGGTTTTGTAACTAGTAATTAACTCCCTGGGCCATTTAAAGGGGCCGGTCGGGGAAAAAATTACAAAATAAATGGGTCTAAATGCGTTCTCTGGCCTTCCAAAAGTTATACAATTGCAATATGATGGTCGAGATCTGCTTGCAATGTCCAGTTTTGACCACTGAAATCTCGGGGAAGCCCCGCGTAAATTTAGCGCAGATCTATTTATATGTCAGGTGGTTGTTTCGAAAGTGAAGCAGTGAAGATAACAATAATAGCACGCCGTCTATCAGCCATGTCGGACTTAACAAGCAGACAAGACTGAAAACAGGTCATGTATGATGCAATTGTAGTATTCCTACCTATATGTTGTTGTTATATATAACGGTATTGATACCTCGTGCCTGTCATGACTTTTGCATGCATCTTTTTCTTTCGCCACGATGTTTACATTTGACCTTGTTGATGACACGCATGCGGTAAAATTGCTTCACTGATCTGGGTCAATTGAGAGTTTTAGACTGTCGGGTGACGATTTAAGATTTCTTTAATATAATTATAATTTTTACTCTTAGGGAGTGAATTTCAGCAAAATTTGAATCGGTATATTTCATAAGAAGGTATTTTAAACATGTGTATGCCATTTTAGCAAATATGACATTTTTTCCCCGACCAGACCCTTTAAGCAACAGTTCCTGTTTCTTTGATCTGAAAATTCCTTCAATTCCTGATTATTTTTGAGTTCTGAATTAAGTGATTACACTTAAAATTACTGATATCTAGATCTGAAATAAGCAGACAATTTCATTGTCATTTCAATCTCTCGGCCGACATATTACAGTACATGTAATTTTTTTGTCATTTAAAAATGTATAGGAATCATAAATTTTATGGTGCAGATACAAAATTGAGATGATTTCATCCCCTCCCCCCTCCATATAGGTGGGAACCTAAATGGTGCACATAATTTGCGTTCTTTATGGTGATGACGGGAGTGACTCGATACAAATGAGATCCAACGTCTGTGTTCCGTTAGTTGCAAAGATTTGATAGCCTTTTGTGGATGCATTCCTAATTGAATTCAATAGTACAGCACAACAAGTAATCAGAAGTCAAATTAAAGATTACTGGGCAACATACACTTGAAGGTGATGGTGATCAAAGTTTTATTACGATGTTGACATGTTTCAACACATAAGGTGTGCTCCCGACATTAGGAATTAAGTTAATTTGTGATTGTAAACTAGAGTAAGAGATGTATGCGAGTGCAAACCAACTATTCTGGTGAAGTTATAGTGCCGTTAGTTGGTAAACATGTTATGTTCCGGCGGGAACAATTGTCACACTGCTATTGTGATGATTACTGAATAAATTGTTGAACTGGTACATTTTCTGGGTTTTCATTCCACTACGGATAACAATCAAATAATCCTTCATTTGTGGTTTATTCGTGCGACTTCTTCAAGTTAGCACCTAGATTGCTCCTGTAATGAACTGTTCGTTTTTGGTAGCCCTTTCGTTAATAAGGTAATAGAATTGTGTCGCCATTTCTCAGTAGAATTTCTTCAAATTTTGTAGCAATATTGCTTTGAAGTAAAGAAACATTTCTGCCACAAAAAAAATATAGGTTGTCAGAAATGTTAGGATTTTAAATGGAAATCTATGTAAAAATGAGTGAATTTTGAAAAAAAAATGAAACGTGCAATGTTTTGCAAAATAATGTCAATCAAAATGATACTGACATAGATTAGTATTGCATTAATGTATATCAATTTCAAAAATGCTGAAATTGTGTAAAATTGATTATCTATAAACGATTAAAAATTGACATTTAATAATAAAACCATATACACATAGTAATTGCAGGTAAGAGTTAATTAAAAAACAACTGAATTAATGCCTGGATCGCTTTGAAATAATTTAATATTGAAAGAACACACTGTTCTGTCAATAATAAACATACAATATTCATCAGTTTAATATTAAACATTAGAATATGCAGAAATTGTGATACTGTCTCCCTACATTGGATTTTCAACTAGGGATGTACTTCCTACTTCCGTTTAGCTATACACTCCTGTGACCTTAAGTGTGTAACAAGTCATGTACCACATCTAACCAAGTTGAATAAGGAAATCTCCAGACATCCTATTTGAACATAAATTGAAAAATACTTCAAAGATGCTTTGTTTGGTTTCCTTGGACAACTCATCAACTATAGAACTAGGCGCAAATACGTCAAATATCACTGCAAGTCAGCAAAATAAAATAATAACTGCCTCTTTATTTTGGGTTGCAAATTCTTCATCTGCCAACTGTTTTCATTCTGACACCTATTTTTAACAGATTCTACTTTGTTTATGTGATATTGAGGAGTAGGAAAAGACAATAATGAAGTTTTTTTAATTTATACTTGTGGTTCATGTTACGAAATCTGTGCCCCATTAAAATGACAGTATTTCTTGTCAAATTTTGGCACACTTCTGCTATTAAGATCCTTATTTGTTAATACTACTTCATAAAGGAATCACAGTCATTTAGTAAACAAAGTTATAGATCTTTATCAATTAAATGAAAGCATGTTTATTGTGTTAACATTACCTCTCTGTCAGTCTCAGCTCTTCTTTCATATCAGCAGGATAAAAGTGGCATTTCTTATTCTTTCCATTATTACGGCACTCGGAGGTGTGAAATGTGTAAAGATATATAACAAAACGATATGAAGTTTGATTTTCTTCCGTGCTGTAAAGAATCCAAAACTTTACACAATGTCATGCATGCCCCTATGGGCCCCATTAAAATGACAATGTTTCTTATCAAAATTCTGGCACACTTCTGCTATTATGATCCTATTTTGTTAATACTACTTCATAAGTGGGTTCCAAAGTCATTTAGCAAACAAAGTTAGAGATCTTTATCGATTTAGATGAAAGCATGTTTATTGTGTTAACATTACCTCTCCGAGGTCAAACACTTAGTTGCTATTTGTTGGATTCTGCTCTCGTAACATCTTGTGAATTTGTGTATGCATGATAATAACATAAACTCACCCTTTAGCCTGGTGAGATAAGTAACAATTGGGGAAGGCTTCGCTCCAGTATACTTGTTATAAATAAAAGTCATTGAAATTTTAAATATTTTCATACCAAGATACAAATGTACGTAATAATATTCATAATTTTTTTCCCTTCCCGATAGATTCGGCATGGTAATTTTTATTGTTTTTCTATAGGCGTTTCAAGTCTTCAGTGCAGTTCAAGCTGACTGCACCGAACATTGATAAGTCACAATTTACTAGGGCCTGTTCATTTATGTGGAACAATCGGTTTATCCGTCTTTAAATGTAATATTTTCGGGTATACATCCTGGCAGACTTGAAAATGTCTATGAAGGCCTTGAAAGGCTTTGTCAAAGCTTGCCTGAAAGCAGCATCAGATTACTAGGTCCGACCTTATTTAATAAACGAACAACTTTGATCCAACCGGTTCCACTGTTTAAAAGAAAATGGCCCTAGTCATTCAATGAGTGTTGATTCAGAGATTAGGACAACTTTACCTAAAGCAATATACTTCTGTAAGCAATTTCTATTTTTCTGTCAGCTCACTTCTACACATCAACTGTGGAAAGCCAGCAGGCTGGTGGTAAATTTCATCTATTTTGATCGATTGTTAGCCTTTTTCCATTTTTCTGGTTGGAGGTGCAAATTGTGACCCGATTCCTAAACGAGAGGTGTAGTACTCTTTATACAACAAAACCTCAAATAATAAACAATGGACTATGGGAGATAATTTGATATATCATTTAAATGTGAAAACATGTTGCTAAGTATTTGTTAATAACATTATGATAGTGTATACAAACTGAATGTGGAATTATATTTGACTTGGGAGGTTTTCACTGAGGAAGTAGTTAACGGTGTATGAGGCAATTTTTGCAACAATATTAATTTATGTCAACTGACAACGATAAATGAAAAAAAAAATGAAAATAAACAACAGAAAAAATCAATTAAAACCATAAAACTAATTCAACATATGTAGTTTATTTGTTGATTGTATTAAGTTCATGCAGTTTTCCTCAGAGACCTGCTCCAAGGATCTTAAAGAACATAGTAGTGGATACTGAAAATTTCCATTTGTATGGGATACATTTATGGTGTTCAATTAGTGAATTTTCATTGAGGTGATCATTTGAATCACAAGGCTTCACTTGGCCATATTGCACGAGTCTAAATACATCCACATATATGTGGAGTGCTCTGTAGAGACCTGCTCTATAGTTCTTACACCACTAATATATAGTTCTCCCGACACATTTCTGGTATGGCATCCCAACAGTGTTGAGGAGTGAGCCCCATGCAGACTGGTACTGGACAATTTGTGTTGGTTCATCTGGAGCATAAGACCAGTTGCATGGGAATACAGGGATATCTGTCCCAAAGTTATTGTCTGCCGGAGGAGGTCAGTCGTTAGCAACATGGCATACAGTCATATGCTCCTTCACCAACATTTACTTTCTATGGAAGCTTTCATCCGTTGGAACTTTTCTTTATCTTTTCAGCCTGAAAATATAGATATTCAACAATAAACCCATGCCTGGTAATAAGCCCACTAATACAGTTTGGTAGAAATAATAACGACGGCGTTTTCATTGTCCTTTGATAAGCCCATCCTCTACTTTGAGTCGGTAACTACTTGTTGGTTCCCTTGGTTTATTTCAGGATAAATACAGTAGTAAGTATAGGGACAATTGTGAGGCACCTCTTTCGGCTTTTTTTAAGGCTATGTTGGTTAACAGATATATGCTGATCATGTGAAGCATCTCCTCTTTAGTCTCTGTGAAAGCCCATACGAGAGTCACAGAGGATAATTTGCCCGAGGATGTGAAACATCTCCATTAGCTTTCTCGTGCAGCTTTACCCTGGGTATCAGAGTCTCTTTGAAGGCCGACTCGAGTCATCAGGTTACTTACCTTAAGGATTTGAGGTACTTCTTCTAAAGCTTTCTTGAAGGCTGGGACGATGGGTTCTAGAGATTCTTCAGAAACTTTCTGTTCCTTGATCCTAGACTTTCCAGCCTCGCGGGTCATCTTCTTGAAGTGATAAAACTGTCAAACAAAAGACACAGAAATTACTCGGCTAGGCCTTTTGAGAAGATTTCCCTATATGGTTGAAATATTTTAAACTAATATTTTCAGAAGAGAACCAGCAAACCACAATTTATGCTGCTATTATCAAATGACTTTGCCTATTCATATCTGGGATGTTATTGTGGCAAGCCTCACCTCTTTGTTCTGCAGTAGGGTGATCGCTGTGCCTACTTTGCCTGCACGAGCTGTACGTCCTACACGATGGATGTACGTTTTAATGTTGTGAGTTTGGTCGTAAGATATCACAAACTTTACATTATCTATATCCATTCCCCTAGCCATGGCATCGGTGCAGATGATTCTGTAATTGTAAAAGATAGTTTAAGTGCTATATCAAAACCACAATAGACTCAATCCCAGTTATTATCCATAGATGTAAATGTAATACTACTGTATACCAGAGAACTTTCGCCAATCAAATACTTGTGTTTAATACTGATGATATTAATCCAGTGGTGATTTCTCCCAACACGTGTGATTACTCTATATTGTATATTGTGTATTAACATATTAGCCGTCTTGATAAATTTGCCCTCCTTGTACAAGGTGAAGCGAAAAGTTGAAGGTTCAACTGTGGCAAAAATTTCCCAGCACAGTGAGAATACAGTACAGAATATCAATTTTTATAATTAGAATTCAATACTTAGATAAAACATATGTACATTACTAAGCATAAGATTATGACTACAGTAAGATTATGACATTTAAGTCTAGGTAATAAAATGTGTACCCACTGATTTTTTAACAAAAAAATTTTGGACCAGTGAATTGTGCAAACTTTTAAAATGCTGACACAAACAGCACACCCAAGATAATTTCTCAAGAACTATGCTGCTTATTTTCAAAAATATATTCACAAATCCTGCTTCGTGATTTATATACTTGAAAATATTACAATAGATACTTGACTAGTCAAGCAGATGAAGTGAAAAGAAGATGGAGGATATTCTATTTCCACGTACATGTCAATTTGGCCTTTGGAGAATTCCTTGAGTATTCGCTTCCTTCTATTTGTTTGGAGACCAGAGGAGAACTCACGAACCTCCTTCCCTCCCATCAGTCGAATCAGGTGATACAGCCTGCAAACATTAACATTCAAAATTTATAATCGTTCCTTCTCCATGCAACGATTCTTACAAAGAAAAATAGAGGACAGTCATATTATGTCACTCTGCATAGGTGATAACTTTAACCGTCATGAGCTATCAACATAACGAACACATTCCTCTACACATCTCATCTGAGAAGTTTCAACACTTTTTGATCGACGTGCAAAACATCACTGCATAATTTTTGTATTTATTGATTACATGACCATTTGTATTCGGTCCGCTGTAAATCTGACTCACCTGTGTGCAGATTCTACTGAGTTGACAAAGCAGAGAACGTTGGTGAACATAAGGTTGTGTAGGTAATGGAGAATGATCAATGGTTTGGTGGCCGCCGTACACTCCACAAAGTACTCCTGTAAGGTCAAAAGTCACAATAAGTCCCTTTCCAGCCAGTGATTTGTTTTGCTTGGTTTTATAGCCCAATACAGGCTGTTCCCATAAAGGGACTTATTTTCCAAAAATGACCAAAAAATAAGGAATATTTACCAATTTCAATACAATTAATGCTATATTTTCTGAATTCATAAAGGAACCGACTTCTGTAAAATTTAGATAAAACAAGAGGCCCATGGGCCTAAACGGTCACCTGAGTCCTACAGTATTTATTTTTGATGTTGAAATATATACCAATTTGAGTACAAAATAGTTAAGTATAACAATAACTTAAGTTTGTCAGGACCATGAGCTGATCATTCCTAGACCGAGTTTCAGTTAAATCGGCCTATTAGAAGTTGTTTTAAGTTTGAAATAGTTTTTTCAAAATGGCGGCCGTGTCGGCCATATTGGATTTCTGATCGACCCGAAAAATAACAACACCTTGTCAGGACCATGAGTCAATCAATCCTACAAAGTTTCAGTTCAATCGGCTCAGTAGAACTTGATTTTCAGTTTGAAATAGTTTTCAAAATGATGGCCGTGTCGGCCATATTTGATTTCTGATCCACCCGAAAAATAACAACACTTTGTCAGGACCATGAGTCGATCATTTCTACAAAGTTTCAGTTCAATCGGCCCAGTAGAACTTGACTTTAAGTTTGAAATAGTTTTTCAAAATGGCGGCCGTGTCGGCCATATTGGATTTCTGATTGACCCGAAAAATAACAACACTTGGTCAGGGAGATGTCAGTAACCTTTCCATGAAATATTAATGAAATCCCTTTGCCAGTATTTCAGCTTGAATGTAAAATGTTAACGGACGATGGACGAAGACGTATAGCAATAGGTCACTTGAGTAAAAGCTCAGGTGACCTAAAAAAAAACCACTGCCAGCATAATTTGAGGATGTCCAACAAAACAGGACAAAGTAATGCAATTACGGGTTGAATGATACAGATACTTTATAATAAAGAATAAAAGATCCCATAGGCAATAATGTTCGGAAACAGACTAGTATTGATAAATGTTGAAACTTCTTTTTTTTTTGGAATGACCTCTTACCTTGAAAAAATGACTATGTACTTACACTCAGTCCTTGTGGAGTTGTGTACTTCCCAACAAATTCACCTTGATTTTCTTCCGTATCAGCTGTAACAGAAACAGTCATTATGTACAACAAGAGTTTAAACAAACAAATTTCAAGCAGGTTAATGAGGATATAAGCTTTGCTAAATCCAGTAGTAATAACAAATTCTGATAAATCAGACTTTTCATAGATTATCTGACACTGTTAAAGTGATTACCTAGTGTCAAAGAAACTTGTACAGTAATTAAGTCTTGTTAGTATGGATTTTAAAGTCTGATTATATAAGCTTGATGCAACATAAGTAGTATTTCTGATATGTATACAAAGTCTGCCTCTTCCAACAAACATATCGTCTTTCAGTAAATCATTTTGTAATGTCATCATTTGATGAGTAACATTCTGGCATTACATGAATTTGCGATATATTTATAGAGGGAGATGAATAAAAGAATCAATACGGTAGGAACAAAAGAAATACAGCACCTTTAAATATGTTTAGGGATATGAAACGTTGCAAATCAAATGGCCACTATATGGAGATTTCGCCACATTTTCCCCAATTCTGTTTCTTTTAACATCCTAGAGCAAACTGAAATTTATGAGATACAATTTAACCATAATAGTTTCATATATCTTATTTATTTCAATAAGCTTGCAGCTCATTGGTGGCCTGGCTTGTATCAGTGTACCTGATTGGCCAGTAGCATCTTCACACACTGAGGAGGCAGGTTTCACAAGAGAAGTAAACAGCTTGGGCAGGAACAGATTCAGCTGCTGAAGATTTTCTGGGTTCTGTGATAATGTCGCTGAGAACAGCAGTTTCTGTAGCTGTGAATAAGAAAAGATAGAAGAAGTCTCATATGTTTTTGTTAAAGTATTCAGATAAATATAGTATACAATGAATATCTACAGCTAAATTACATTCTTTCGTATTTAAATTGCGATACCCAACAAAATCTTTATCTGGAAAGTTCAAATTATGTTCAATAGTTTATAATTATGTGTGCAAACAATCACTGAAGTATTTCAACCTTTGAATATTGATGGCGACATTGACCTTGAGAATGAAATTCTGTTTGGAACCTGTCACACTCTTTTGTCATGACCCATGTACACACCATCAAACAATCCTCAACAGTTTAAACGTTACAATATGGATAAGATCTGCACAGACAAAGTGACGGATAAACTCATGAACAGGAAAGAGAAGCCATTTCCTGATGATACTGTCTATGTACTGTTATCCATCAAAAGACCCGATATTTTGTGAGGCTTACATTTTGTATAAATACTATATCACCGGTACCACTGCCACACAAGACAAACACTAACAATTCATGTCTACATAAAGATATTGTATGTATTTTGTGTATCTGCACAATAAGACTGCTCAAATTAGGATAGAACAACACAAATACATATAATTTAAACAACATAATCTTACAATGTCATATAAATAGAATTCCACTCCAGAGAAAAAGGCAAAAGTAAATACTGTACCCCTGCATTTCCATTTACTAAAAGTCAAATTACAATATATACTTACAGGTATACGAGGCTTCAGGCAACTGAAACAAAAATGATAAACAAGAGATTAATACCGATATGTTTGGTTATAATACAGTGGAACCAAGGATATCTTATTGATTTCGCTTATAAAGATATTTTTCTGTATAAAAACTAGTATCCAGAATATTGTTATGATATTGTCAAATGTGTGACCCCTTTCCCTAGAATATTTTCCCCCTGACATTGTTTTTTTGTATAAAGCTAAAAACCCAGGCAAGTTGTCTGTGTGTGACACCTGGACAATACGTTTGACTTAACTGCATATTGCCCGAGGTACAAGTATAATTGTTACGCAGCACACCCGTTCAGGTAAGTTTTTGTACACCTGATCACTTCACTCCGATTCCCAGTAAACAGAGGATCACCCCTGGAGTGCTGGCAATGCATATTATTTTTAAACAAAATACGTGCAGTAGCTTATGGCTATATGAAAAACACTAGGATTGTACATGTGTATAAAATGGAAATAATTACTGATAGTTTCTGCCGCCATTTTTGTTACAAAAAGGACGGTGTATTTTAGGAATATTCATGGTTACCTCAACATGTCCGACAAGAAAACCATGCCGATTTCAATGAAGACATTACTTTCAAAAGGAAGTGTTGTGTTTTTAATCATTTAAACAATAGTTTCTGTATCGCAATGCAGGTTGATGTATTCGGGTCTCGGTGAGAACATATAGAAATCTGGCCATAAATTCCCCTGTATATTTTATTGGTGTCTCAAATTCTCAGACATGAGTGCCTGGGTGTTTTAACTGTTATGTCAGATTATTTCTGGCTGTAGCCAGGTGTACTGACCTTTGAGCGGTGAGTATTTCTGGCTGTGGTCGGGTGCTTTTGTAGACAGCATTCTCAACCCTAACCAGCCAATCCTGTTTCACCAGTTCCATCATTTTGTCAGCTTCGTCTATCACCTGTCGAGATAATATATTCACTTTTTTGATAATGGAAGTTTTAGAAAATAATGTAACTTCAGCCTGTAGCTGACTATCAGAGATTTACTTTAATACCTCTAATACCTTTACTTTCTGGATGCGAACGGAATTTTTAGATATGCATGTCATGTGATAGAGGAACACCTGTACTTCTTGTAAACAGTGATAACCTGACAACAGTTAAAACAAAATGCAAAAACAATCAAACAAGCCGGTAGTAGTCAGTAGATATCCCAGTGTACATGTACTGGTGTTTTTGCTAAATTTCTGAACTGATGGTTGCTTTCAACAGACAAAATGCAGTCAGTGAATTATGACAGGTGACAGTATCATAAACACTTGAACACTCAATATGTAAAAGACTACTCAAAATTAAGGAAAATCAGGATACTTTTGTCACCAACAAGCTTTAAACAAGAACAGTGTAGAAACAAACATATTATTATATTATTTGATAGTTTGACACTAACCTTTAAATGAGCCTCAGCTTTTTCTAGTATAATCCTTTAATGACCTTTTTATTCCATTGAGGAATGAAGTCGATAGAGTGATGACAAAGTTTTACTAACAATAGTGAAAGTGACTTTGACCTTTGACCTAGTTACCCAAAACGCGAACCTGTTCAAGGTATTGTTGTACCAAACACTTATAAAAATTTTCCTGAAATTCCGTTGAGAAATGAAGTCACTAGAGCGATAATAATGAGTGTAACATACGTATGGGCTGTATTCTATATTTCCTCAAACTTCAGTTGTGAGGAGATAATAAGTCGCTCATTATTCAAAACAATAAACATGATCCATCATTAGACAAATGAACAATGACTTACTAGGAAGCGCAGACCTGACAGATCAAACCCCGGAGTCTGGTTGATGTGGTCAACAAGTCGGCCAGGTGTAGCTATGATAATATCCACAAGGCTTTGGTAACCACGGAGACTGTCCAACAAACAAACTCAAAAGTAGGCACAGTACACTGAAGATATGTTTGCAAATCATTCACCTAAGACTGTAATCTTTAGACCAGGCTTAATCAACAACTTTCAACCTTTCTTTTCAAGACTCCATAATATGAACTTAAATGTTGAATGAACAGACATTTGTCACTTTAAACTAAGAAATGACATAAATATGGTGGCCACTTACCTCCTTCTGACCAATGTCTGCTGTTCTAGTTTGAAAGCTTTCTGTCCAGTAAGCAGACCTACCTGTAACAAAAAATAGCTTTTCATGAGGCATCATTAAATAACTGTAGAAAAGCCAAATACTGGATTCGTGAGTTTAAGTATGTCTAGTTGATGTTTTTTTTTATAATAATTTTAGTAACATTTTATTGTTTAGGTCACCTGAGCTTTAGCTCAAGTGACCTATTGCTATCCGTCTTCGTCCGTCTTCGTCTGTCGTCCATTAACATTTTACATTTTCAACTTAAGCTGAAATACTGGCAAAGGGATTTCATTAATATTTCATGGGAAGGTTACTGACATCTCCCTGACCAAGTGTTGTTATTTTTCGGGTCGATCAGAAATCCAATATGGCCCCATTTTGAAAAAACTATTTCAAACTTAAAATCAAGTTCTGCGGGGCCGATTGAACTGAAACTTTGTAGGAATGATTGACTCATGGTCCTGACAAAGTGTTGTTATTTTTTGGGTCGATCAGAAATCCAATATGGCCACCACGGCCGCCATTTTGAAAAACTATTTCAAACTTAAAGTCAAGTTCTATTGGGCCAATTGAACTGAAACTTTGTAGGAATGATCGACTCATGGTCCTGATAAAGTGTTGTTATTTTTCGGGTCGATCAGAAATCCAATATGGCCGACACGGCCGCCATTTTGATAAACTATTTCAAACTTAAAAACAAGTTCTAATAGGCCAATTTAACTGAAACTCGGTCTAGGAATGATGAGCTCATGGTTCTGACAAACTTAAGTTAACATTATTCTTAACAATTTTGTACTCAAATTGGTACATATGTCAACAACAAATAAATACTGTAGAACTCAGGTGACCATTTAGGCCCATGGGCCTCTTGTTTCAAAGAGGCTTAGATTTATTGTCATCAGTCATCTTTGACGTCTGAAGAGATATTCCTGTGTAAAATATTATGCATTACAAATATTGTCGTACATACATGTCATAAATTATCTAGTTAAATTTACATAAATGAGCAATCAATTCATTATCTGGAGTATTAAAACATCATTATTTTTATAAAGGATCTGTACCTGATGTCTAGTTTGAACATCTGCTATTCGCAGATAGAACCTTGAATTAGTTATTTCTTTCATCCAATAATATGAAAACTATTTCTCAAAACAAGTTACGTACCAAGAAAATATCATTGTCTAAACTAGGAAAAGTATGATTGATTATCAAATGTTGATCAATTGTGAAATGGATCGTATTAAATTGTTTTACCACTTCCAAACTGTCTCAGGGCTGTTCCAGAAAAAAAGACATCCCCCCCTGGGCCGGCACTTTTTCCAAACCCTACCACCCATAACTTCAATAATCAGCTGACCCCTACCACCCGTAATTACGAATTTTGTTCCATACCAACGACCCACAATTGTTTTTTAGTTTAAAAAAAATGAAAAAAAAAGTAGTACCCACATACCATGTTATTCAAATAGTTAATTTATACCCATATACTATTAAATTAAATAATTACCGTTGTTTTACTATCATTTGATATAAATAAACTAAAATTTAGTTTAATATATATATATGTGTTGTATTCTTTTTGTGCTTTTGCTATATATTATATACATAGAGAATGCGATAAACGAGGCGGAAAATTGGCCTAAACCATGCCTCACCATCCATCTTCCCCCATCTTCCGGGCTCCAACCACGCGAATGGGCAGCCATTTTTGTGAAGAGTGATAACAGCGCCCTCTATCAAGATTGATTTTTTTTTATCATAGGAGTTGCGTCCCTTGACCCACATACTGGAAGCGACTTGCAAGCGATACAGTAATGTCACGCTGCCGAAGTTTCAGCACGTATTTCAATAACGCAAATCTACATCCGAGCTTCAACCAGATATTTTCATATCACACCACCATGTAAATTAATTAATCAGGTTTTATTTATTTTTTAAATATTTTTTTTTATTTCTCCAATGTACAACGACCCACAGAAACGAAAATACAACAACAACAACAACCAATAACTACGATTTTATTCAATGTTCAACCACCCACGTTAACAAAAAAAGTTTGCCGTCCCAGGGGGGGATGTCTTTTTTTCTGGAACAGCCCTCATCTACTATTTACATCAAAACACTAGTTTACAGCAGTATAAAGACAAGTTTTTATGACTTGGTATCACAAGCATCACTTCTTTTTTTGACATCCCAGATTAAAATTGTCTAGTATTGGTGTAGCCGACAGCAACAGCATTGCCTACCTTGAGGTCTGACCCTTTAATATAGGTCTGGAACACTTTGAACACCTGTACAGCAAGGTCTTTCACCGGTAGCACTACCAGTGCACACACCTGTCTGTGCACACGCCCCTTCAGAGCCTGGAAACACAGAGCTATATATCAAAAATTGAGATGGGTAGAGCAAACTAAATCATGCATATACAAAATTTATCAAGTAAGCATGCAAAATTTAAAGGATTTTCAGGTTTTCATGTACTTCAAGCAAAACTTCATAGGTTATAAATAATCCAATAGAATTTAACTACTTCAACAAGGTGCAAATCTTAAATGTATCGTTTCTGATTGGATTACTCCTAAGGTTTCAGTCTCATAACTTTAATTATGTAAAACCGCAAGTTTATCAAGATTATACTTAACATATATTATGTAGAACAATGATCAAGACAAAGTTTAACATTCAATTAAGAAGAAATATTTGAATGAAGAGGACTTTTTAATTGGATGAATGGGATGGGTGTTTTAATTTGAAGAATGAAAATGACTACCAGTATTTACCTGAATGTAGAGAACACATTAAGGGGGAATGCAAGTTTTACCTGGATAATTGGGAGGACAAAAGCCAGAGTTTTGCCGCTGCCTGTGGGAGCAGACACACAGATGTCACTTGGCCAATAACCTGCCTTCCCCACCATTCCTCCAACACTCAGTGTATCCAGCAGCATTGGAATCACCTGCATCTGCACTGAAATAAACACATTGTTATTAAGTGGATGTACAGTCTGTCGGAAGATCCTTAGGAATGAAGATATATTTTGATGAAAATTTTGCAATGGTACTGACAGTGGAGTTTTTTACCCCTTCCTCTCCAAAGTGGAGGGATGAAAACTTAAATTTTGAACCATGAAGTGCTGTTAAAGCAACGTTACCTGAAAATGTTGAAAGAGGTTGAATAATTTGTATGTTATACTTTTAGTATACGGTTAAGAATGACTCAAATTGATATTTTTGTGTTGTTTAGACATGTGGTATTTTATTTCCATTTCACTGTGAACACAATCACAGTGAAATGGAAATAAAATACCACATATATATTTAAAATGGGGTGCGGAAAACATCATAAAATGGTGTGGCAAAAACATTGCAAATCGTTATCAAAGCGTGCGACCATTGATGGATGGAAAAAACATTTCCCGAGGCTGACATCACGGCCTAGATTGTTGGTCAAACTGATGACCAAAACTTGTTGAACTTGAAATGTTCGTCGTGCTCCAAACACAAGAAGGAGAATGTTTTCACAAAAGGCTGATCTAATATTAAAAAAGTGCTCTTACCCAACATGAACATTAGGCTAGAGGATCACTTGTCCACTATTGAAAGTATCACAAAAGAAACTTCAATTAAAAAAAGAAAAACGCTTTGTGAAATGGTCACAACATTAATGGAAGACATCGACGATGATGAAGTTACTGAGAGTAAAACAGATGACTGTGCCAATTCTGTATTTAGGACAATTTACTATGCAGCGAAAGAGATGAGACCAAGTGACAATTAACGATGGTTGTTTAAACAAGGTTCGTACAGGAATCTTGCTATGAAATTTAGGGCCTTTTTAATGACTTTTTAGGGCCTTTCTGAGTAAATTTAAGTAAATTGTTGACACCTATTCCAAAAGACAGAAAAAACTGATACTTTTACATAAAATTGGACATTTTTGTTCATTTTGTAATAAGTGTTACATGATTGAAGTTTTATGAAACACTTTAAACACTGATAACACTGTGTGCAAAGTCCATAGAATTTCTGCACGAAGAACGTCGTTTTTGTTTAACAAAGTCATTCAAAGATGTGGGTCGCACCTTGTGTTCAGATGGACCAGCGCCGCAACATTTGCAGGCAGGGGCACTTGCATGTCTGTCACATCCAATTCCTTTTCTGGGTTTGCAGACTTACTGGTAAACTGTTCAAACGCCTGCTGACAAGTGTTACTTGCCGATGTAGCACAGGTGCGATGCTTATCACTTCTCTCTTGTGACTTTAGAGCTGATGCGCCCATTTTCCGAAGAACGATCAGTCTCCTATAAACTGTACAGAACGTGTCATATTTTGACTCTGCTTTAATAGCCCATGAGTAACGGTTAACCCAACTAGCTGGTACACTGTGCGCCCCATGTCTGATCCGCCATTTGCTTTTGGTACTCGGAATACGTACTCGGAACACCTCTAGACTTTACGTTGAATATACTAAAATCGGACACGGAAGCGGATATCCGGAAATCGCATTACGTTAAGCGAATGTTCGCCGTTTCTTTTGAAATCCATGTTAAATAGCAAGTAAAAAAATTAACAAAACACACAGGAAATTTACACGGAAACTATATTTGATGCCTCTAACATCAAATTCAAGGCTCATTTTCCCAAATTCAAGGCCTCTTAGTGAAATTTTAGGCCTTTTAAGGCCTTCACATCATTTTCAAGGCTTTTCAAGGCTAATTTTTAGGGCTTTTTCAAGGCCTGTACGAACCCTGTTAAAAGCGCCATGATTCAATTCTCACTCATATAAGCGTTTGTAATGGGAGGCATTGCGTACTAAGCAAGCGTCTAAGTGACTCACTGTAAGCGTATTATAATCTGCTAAATTGGACACGGAAACTGTCGCAATGTTCCGGATTTTGCTTGCGTGAATTAAGCAAGTTCATTTTTTTCTTTTGCGTAATTTGTGAATTTTCGTGCATGAATACACATTCACGCAAGCTATCTGGAGCAGTGTACTGAAATGGAAAAGTCATCAAACTGCTGAAACAACAGAATTATCGCGGCTCTTGACAAGATGTGAACTATCATATATATGTAGATAGATTGAATTTCCTCTGGCTCCGACACCAGAGCGCACTACTATATGAAAATGTGGAATTCTCCGACACCGTTTGGTATCGGAGAGTTATTAAGTGCTGACAACAACAATCTACTATGACAACTCATACCTTACTTATATTGATAAATGGATTATTTACTGATCCAAATCCGCTCTTTTTATCACTAAATTCCATCTGACAGTAGAGTCCTCAATCATTCAAAATTTCCAAGCTGGGGAAACCCCATTTCTGTAGGTCATGGGGGCAATATATATGTATGTATATAATTATTATGTAGTAGTGCGCTCTGGCCCCACACCAGATATCTATCTGCCAAAATGTATAAGTCTGGTGTCAGGGCCAGAGGAAACTCAGGCTCACATATATATATGGTAAATGTTTCTTTTTAAAAAATGTTTGTGTTAAGGCATTTGGAAGGAACAAACATGCAGCAAGTACTACAGTACGCTTGATATCAAGGTACTGTTAATTAAGTATTTTATTTTAGTTACATTTGTCATGCATTATTAATACAAAACAATAATTAAACAGTAGCTTACCTGGGAAAAAATGTGAAATGTTGTTTTCTTGTAACTGGACCACAAGATCAGGATCAAGTCCAGTCATCTTTCCCACTGGAAGAGTTGTAGACTTAAGATCAGCCGTGATAACATTGGGATTGGCCAACCAATCAGGCAGGACACGATTTACCTTGAAAAGTTTAGATCACTCTAGTTATTTTATATACGATTTATATCCTCAATTGTAATAATTAATCACCTGATAAACCTTGCCTCGCTACGGGTAATTAACATTAATAATTACTATTGGAAGTGGACTCACTTTTTTGTTAATAATAATGTACCATAATAGTGCCATATATTTAATTTCACTATTTCAATATTTTCACTATACAACTTGTACCAGTATTTCAAAGTTGGCAGCAGATCTGCTCTACCACAAGGTTGGCAAGGACCAGACTGCAAGGATGCCAACATACCCCGTCTCTGGCACACATACACAACACAAATGGAGACTCGTCTTTAAATAACCTTATCTGTTGATAGGACGTTATTTTATTTTTTTTAAATATAAAAAACAAACAAACAAGTATTTCAAACTTTAAAGGAATCGAACAAGTATCAGCTAACTTGTCGGAGATAAAATCAAGTAAATCAACATTGACTTAACATTTAAACTGTTACAGAGAAAAGTAGACAAGAAGTTGATCATTGGTGCTGGGTCTTGTTGTTTTTCGTCAACCATAGCAGGCCGGGACAGGTGCAATTCAATTTGTCTATGAATATTGCACCTGGCACAACCTGCCATAGGCAACTTCTCTCTAAACAAGCATCAAGAAATGACTGCAGAAAGCCGACCAATATATTACACATTACTTAACCAATCCTTGTAATCATGACATAATTACTACTGATCTCTGTAGTTGTTCTTACTAGAAACAAATATGCATCTTAATATCAAATTGTGGGCAATTTCTAATAGCTCTACAGTACAGTGTCAGTTCTGGCGATGTCCAATGTAAACTGAAGCCAACAAAACACAAAAAGAAAAGCAGAGCATTCCCAATATTTTACTGTATGTTGTACATATATGAACATGATTGGGACCAAACTTAAAAAAAAAATATGCATGAACACTGTATATAACCCCCATGAATAAAACTGTATATAGACTTTCTGTTATTTGATCAACCAACTGCAAAAGACTATCTATGACAGCTGAACAACTGAGCCCAACTATTTCTTATATTACTATACAAACAGTCCTCCTATGATATCCAGCATTCATCAGCCGAGTTTTTTTTTAAAGTCCTGACTATGTATATTTATTTTTTGACAATTACACTAAATATATTGATACCTTCTGGACAACTTTCTGTTGAAAATTCCCTAGCACAGGAAACTTCTTTTCACCATCCATTACATCAGTGTCATCACCAACATCAACTTCTTCCTTTCCTTTCAAATCAACAGCAGACTCATCCAACAGATTCTCTTCTTCATCCATAGCATTTTCTGTTTTCTGTTGCATTTCTTCACCATTCTCATCTGATTTGTGTTTCTTTTTCTTCTTTTTCTTAGACGATGTTTCATCCACCTCTGTTGTTTCATTCTCAGTCCTTCGTTTCTTCTTCTTTTTTCGACTTCCTGAACTTATATCTTCGACATCCGACACTTCCTTGCTTAATTTGTTGTTTGTAGTAGTATTGTCATTCTCTATGGCTTTCTTGCTCTTAGACTCTCTTTCAGCTTTACGTTGCTTAGCCTCACTTTTGATTTTCTCTAAAATTTCTGAAGCAGTCAATTCCTTTTGGTTTTTGTCAATTGCTGTAGCCTCATCTCCCATGTATCTGAAATTATAACAATGTTTTTTTTTGCCAAATATGTTAATTTTGAAAGATTGAAGGGCCCAAGGCACTAGAGGATTGGTGGCATGAATGTTGAAAGAATGATGCGCTTTTTTGCTCAAAGTGTTTAAAAGAACTTTGTGTGTTTTTATTTCACTTAATTCCCCATTTCAGTAATAAAATTGTAACTCAAATGGGTAACTGTTACCCAAATGCAGGATTATTACCCATATGCGCCGTTGTGCCCAACCTGATAAATTTATACAACTTGCTTGCTGAAGAAAATGAAATTATCACATGCAAAGATTATGATGCAGTGACCTTGAAACATTCATTCACTGACCTTCACTTTTAAAATTTAGGTCGAGAATCAGAATATTCGTATTAAAATTTCACTCTTTGGTTGAGAAGTTCAGTAATATTATAAACTTTTTTGCAAACAGAAAAAAAGTTTGAAAACCGGCGAATACGATACGTCAAATGCGGGCGTTCGAAAAAACAACAAACATAACCCACGTTAGTCCACATATTGAAGGTAAATGACAAAAAATGAAACTGCACGTGGTGAGAAATCAACTTTCTGTAGTCGCCCCAGAGTTAAAGACAAGTTACAGATCGACACGGGCGAATGGAAGACCTTACCTTGTGTTACTTTGATGACATTTATCATAATTTGCAATTATTTTGTATTTGATGCATTACCTGGAGACTGAGAAAAGTGCCATTTTGAAGTCGTCTGTTATTCAATGAGCAACATTAAATAAAATTAAACAAGAGCACATGCTTTTCCGTGTGGTAGACATTTTGAAAGGGGCCTTATGGGAGTCGGAAATTGAGTCTACCAATCAAAATTCGCCAAATTTCGTTTCCTGTCAAATGACCTTCACCCTTGTGAGTTACGTGGAAATGGCAGTATGTCAGAGTCAACCGGCGATAAGACGAAGAACTTGTCGGTTATCGGCAAAATCAGGGTCATCAGAACCAAATACCTAACTAACACAATGATATCGTCAACAGTACTTCCGGTGATGTTCCTAGCGGGAATGGCGGTGGCTTGTCTGATCTCCGTATTGCCTACAGTTCTACTTTCACTTCTGTCTGACAAACGTCAGCTCACGTCAACAGTATCCCAACATGACACATCTGTTATGCTACGAGTCCGACAACACATCCTACCGCCAAGTCCAGGTATTCCTGAATGGGAGTTTATGTAATTGTGTATTCTCGATACCATTAATGACAACCATCAAGGGTTAATAATGCTAACGTTAAATGCCCAAATAATGTGCCAGTGCTCAGTGTGTCCAGTGTACTTAAAGTCACTATTGCGCCATCACTAGTACTAATAGTTATCAGGTCCAGTACACTCTGCCGATTGAGCTATATAGCTATAAAGACCTATATAGCTATATACACCTATACATTATAGCTGTATTGAGCTAAATTTTCTCAGATTTCAATTTTCATTAAATTAAAGCAAAGTCGCATAAAACAATAAGGTTTATGGTAATGTTGACTACAAAAAGCATACAGTTAGATGTTTATTTTCATTTTTCATAAATGTAAAATTTCCGATTTTTTTACATCATTATTTTTTAAAAAGAACCCTTATGTTTAATGTCTTTTGTTATCAACCTAATGATACAATCTTCTTTTAAAAGCGACTTTGTTTTGTTTTCCTTAAAAACGAAAATTACTCAAAAAATAGCTCAAAAGACCTATTTCAGATAGGTCAATAGAGCTATTATAGGTCTTTACAGCTATATAGCTCAATCGGCAGAGTGTACTGGACCTGGTTATAACCAGCCTCCTCTCGGCCGGGTATTAAATCGATCCCTCTGCCCCGTCTGGATATTAAATCGATCCCATGCCTTGTAATGGAGTTTCACACTGGGACGATTTTAGTTGATACATGTATAGTTGTCGACACCAATGGAAAGCTTCAGTTAGCTTCTTGCGGCGCATTTTAATGTTCCTATACTAATACATGACTTCTGGTGCGTATTGATATAGAGGGTTTAAAATCCTGAAATCTTACAGTTAAAAGGTGAATTAAGATATTAATGGTCTGACACGATCTTGCTAATAGCAAGAGGCATTGAATTTACAGGGGTGATCAGACCAGAACTTGTTGAGTCTGTGTTTAAATCTATTCACGCTAGGGGCATTTACCACATGGTTTGACAGACTATTCCAGGACTCCCTGTTACTGTAGCTGTTACTGCTTAATTGTCTGTTGGTTCTCTTTTTAAACAGCTTTTTGTTGTTCCCTCTTAGAATTAATTGACAGCACATTGGTCCGCACGATAAATAGGGTTGTATTTCTAACTAAACATGTAGATATATTAAATGAGGTGAGATTTTTTTATGAACAATTGTATTCTATTGATAATGAAGTCGATGACATAGATTTGGATGAATTTTTAGAAGATTTTGATGTTCCAAGATTAAATGTTGAAGAAGCGGTCAGTTTGGAAGGTATTATAACACTTAAAGATGAATCATCTGTTTATTTCCTAATTACCTAATCCATCTGAAAAAATTATAAAACAGCTCAATTTTGTTCTTTTTATTTTTTTATGGAATACCAAAACTGATAAGATTAAACGGGAGATAATAATTCAAAATTATCAAGAAGGTGGGCTAAAAATGGTAAATTTAATGTCTTTTATTGAAGCTCTGAAAATAAGTTGGATAAGAAGGTTTTTTAGATCAGAAGGTAAATGGGTAAGCGTTTTAAAATCTTGTGTAAATCCTCATATCTTGGCTAACTCAGGAAACAAGTTCTTAAATAAAATTCAAGGAAATTGCAAAAATGTGTTTTGGAAAGATGTGTTTAGGGCATGGCATAAATTAAGAGCAAAAGAGGAGCTGTTTAAAAATGAGAATTTTGCCCTACTTAAGACACCCTTATGGTACAGTATAACAAAAATATTTCTGTTGGTAATAAAGTTGTTTTTTTATCGTAAGTGGTTTAAAACGGGATTATTATAATTAATGATTTGTTGAAAAACAACACAGACTACTCTTTCTTGTCTTTTAAGGAATTTTGTGATCTACATGGTACAATAACTAATTATCTAGAATATCATGGCTTGATAACAAGCATAAAGAATTATCTGAAACAACTTAATTTGCCAAACAAAAATGTGATATACCCAATTATACCGTTACATCTTGTAATAATTTTAAAGAAGAAAAAAGGTTCTCAAGACTTCTATAATATACTTATCAGAAATAATGCATCAATAACTGCTCAAACAAAATGGGGAACTATATTCGACTATAATCAGGAAACTTGGGGGAAAATATATGCTATTCCTTTCAGGGTTACAAAAAATACAAAATTGCAATGGTTGCAATTTAGAATTAATCATTATATTTTAACAACCAATTCTTATTTATGCAAAATTGGACTTGTAAATAACCCACACTGTGTTTTTTGTATCATAGAAAGGGAGACAATTACCCACGTTTTATGGGAATGCAGGGAAGTACAAAAATTTCTGAGCAATTTTGAAAGTCTTTTAAGTGCTCTCACTATTCCTTTCTCACTAAATAAAGAATCAATGATCTTTGGTTTTATCAACCAAACTGGAATTTATACCAGAATTGATAATGAAATTACTCTGTTCATTAAACAATATATATACAAAACCAGATGTTTTCATAAGTCACTTAATGTGACGGCTTTAGTCAATTCGATTAAAGATTACTATAAGGTTCAGAAATATATTGCTCGTGGTAAAGGGGAACAAGGCCTTAGAAGATTTACTTCTGAATGGGAAAAATGGTTAAAATTAGTAGAGCTTGACCTCAACTAACCCTGAATATTATGACTATTTATATTAAGTTATTAGTTGTTATTCTACTTAAAAAAA